CACGTGTCACATGCAGGCAGCAGGCCTCATGCCCTCCTGAGTGTCACCCTGGGCCACACCCCATGGTCCTACAGGGGCAGTGCTCATCTGGGAAGTCCCCAGCTTGCTCCCAGGGTCCCCTACAAGGCGCAGTCCACTCGCCTCGGCTCCCCCACATGCGGTGACTGTACCTTGGCAGTCAGGTTGCACGTCACCTCCACGGTGAAATGCAGCGAGCGGAAGCGGCGCTGCATCTTCTCACAGTCCACGTTGGAGCCCAAGCGCGTGCTGAGCCCCGATGCGCGGGAGAAGTTCACGTTGTTGATGATGAGGCAGTGGCCGCAGGGGTCCGCGCGCAGGACGTACGCCTGCCCCAGGGACAGGGGACAGGACCAATGTGAGCGGGGCTGTCCCACTTCCTGGAGGAGGTGACCCTGCTTCTCACTCAGGGGCTGACACTGAGAGGTGGGAGAGGCATGGGGATCCCTTCCACTGCAGGCCCCACCTGGGACTCCAGGACACAGAGGGACCCAGGGAGCCGCAGGGCGGGCACTGGCTGCCCCTCTATGGAGAGACGCAGGCTCCCGACTCTGTGCTCAGGGACGGAGCAGCTGGCTTAAAAAGCCTGTGACCCACTGGTGCCACACACCAGTAGGTGGCTCTCACCCAGGTGCACCTGGCGGGCATGAGGCAGCTGTGTCCGCAGACTTCGCCCAGGTCTGGCCCCGGAGGCGCAGGCCACCTCCCCCGGCCCAGCCCCTGCGACCCTCCCACAGCTGCCTCTTCCTGCTCTGGGACTTGCTGCCCTTTTTTTGCGCCTTCCTTTGCCGAGCTTCCCTCCCGGGACAGACTGAGGGCTCCCTGTGGCCTCCATCCCAGGGCAGCGCCCAGGAGCCACCCAACAATACACAGGTGGGGACAAGAGCTCGAGTGTCCTGGCATGGAACAGCACCACGGCCTGTGCTGAGGACGCCCGTTAGGTGGGACCTGATTCTACCGCTGGGGTGAAGCAGAACCACTCGATGGCTTCAGTGAGCACCAAGCCCAGGTCAGAGCCATGGACCGCGGGCCGGAACCTCGTTCCCCAACTGGGCTGGGTCCCCAGGACTCCTGACGGCTGCAGGGAAGGGGCGAGGCTGATGAGAGGGACAGGCCCCTAGTCTCACGGAGACTCACCAAATCTGCGTTTCCCCTCGACGGCTCCTGAGCATCTGGAGAGACAGACAGAAAGAGAAACGTTGGGGCCCCAGGGAAAGGCCAAGGGACCATGCCGGGACTCGGGACCCCGCGTTCTGCTGGTGATGGGATCAAGTGGCACAGCCACCGTGGAGAACTGAGTGGAAGTTTCTAACAAAGTCGAACACACACAGACCCTGGGCCTCTGGCCACATCTCCAAGAGGCCTCCTCATAAAGCCCCCGAGCGACGCTACCAACCCAACAACAGGCGACGGACACACAAACTGACAAGCAGCCACACAGCCCACCACACACGCGGTGCCACAGGCGGCCTTAAAACAGGCGCTGCGTCAGAACGCCAGACGCTGGGGACTGTAGACGGAGCTCCACTTACGGGAATCCCAAAACAGAAGGGGTCAGAGACGTTCCAGGCAGCAGATGCCCACGGTCTGCGGGGTCCGCGGCCTGGCACACAGTGGGTCCTCCAGAAATATTTGCAGAAGGAGAATCAATGAGCGAAGATGACTCTATAATTTCAATTAGCAAGAATTCCAGTGGCCGCCAGCCTGTAAAGCTCTGAGACATTCTTTCCCTTTGAAGCAAGGATGCCACAGTGCTGCCTGGGGTGACAGTGGTGCCCTGCTGTGTTCTGGCCAAGGTGCCACTTATGGCTCAGGGCTCCCACCAGGTCCCTGCTGGGAACTACACCTTTGCCCTTTTAAACAGCAGTCCCTATGCACTTTATAAATTAGAAATGGCCTGATCTAGCCCAAGGACTCCTGTTAGTCTGCGGGCTTCATTCTGAGAATGTTTGCTCATTCCCAAA